ACTCGCTAGGGCACGAGCAGTGGCGGCATTGAGGATTCTGCTGACAAGGCAAAATGAAGACTGTGATACAGCATGACAATACGCTTATTGATATAAGACAATAAAAACCTTTCCAAACCACAGCTTTCATCCTTAACTGATGTCATTGTTTAATTGAAAACTAAGTATTTACTGCTGGGCATCTCTAAAGAAAAGGCAGAACAGTCTAGGCTAAACTGGCAATATAAAGCTGACAGAATATACAGAACAAGAGTTTTTGTTCTCCAGCTGTCAAACAGACACAGGCTGAGTACATTTTTATAGGGTCAGTTCATTCAAAACTTCAAAAGTTTTAGCTTTCAATATACTTTAAGTATCCAGCTCTGCATCCCTGCTGTGCTATAAGGGAAGTTCTCATTCTCAGTGTAGGATTTTTTTTTGCTTGTTTTAGACTACCAAAAGTGTGCCTCTTTAAAAAAAAAATCCTAGTGGTATAAATGTACAACACAGCAGAGAGATAAGCAGTGCAGCAGTTTGGGTACATAGTGTATAGGAAAGCAAACAGATTGCAATGCCCAGAGCATGTAATATACAGCACATCATATAAAACACAGCCATCCACAGCCTGCTAGGTGGTCAGGAGTACAGAATTTACAGCATAGTGCATAGAGTGCAACAATCCAGAGTATTCAGTGCTAGTTCACACCAGCCGGTGCGCTCCGGCCCAATTCGGTGCCGGAACGCACTGGATCGCATCCCGGCTGGCTCCCTGGGTTCAAGGGCGTGGTGGTGCATTGAAGTTAATGGCACCGCAGCCACACCCCCGCCCGCAGTGCGATCACCCGCACCCAATTGCGTGGCACATCAATGTCTGCGTTCCAACCGGATGCGTTTAGAAAAAATGCTGCATGCACTATTTTTACTGACCGCACCAGACCAGAATGCAGGAATTGATGTGCCACGTGTTTGGGTGCGAGCGATCGCACTGTGGCCAGGGTGCGTGGCTATGGTGCCATTGAGTTTAATGCATCACCACGCCTCCTCCCACCCCTGAATGCAGGGAGCTGGCCGGAATGCGATCCAGTGCGTTTCGGCAACGAATCGGCCTGGAATGCACTGGGGCTGGTGTGAACTAGCCCTTATTGCACAGCACAGACTACAGAGTGCATAGGAAAGGACTATGTAACATACAGCATGATATACAGAGTGCAGTGACCGAAAACTTCTAACCTTACGTTGATGATGAATGGAGAAGGGTCTCCTTTCATTAGTTGTTAAAATGCCCCCTTATATTGGTTAAGCACAGAGAAGTGCACCTTTACAATTGTTGACAGTGAAGAAATCCCCCCCTATGTAGGTGGCTAGTGGTGGTTCCCCACATGGTGAACAGTCTAGTGCTCCATTACACTGGTGGTTAGTGGGAGGAGGAAAGTTGACGTTACTTACCTCAGAGATGAGACTATTCTCTGGTCCTCGGCTGAGCAACATCCACACCTGAACTGTTCAGGAATTGTTGGCAGATCAATACACCTGCATGCTGGGTGTACATACATGTGTTGTTCATTTAGATTTTAGTTTTTCAACCAAAGCGCTGTCCATCCCCACAACACCAGACTTTTGATGAAAAATTATCAACTGCCCATCTACATGGCAAATATACTGTATTTGTGGCTCTTTGCTAATAAGTGGTAAAAACCACAAGTCTTGCCACCACTCTGCAAAATCCCAAAAAGAGAAGGTGAAAAACTCTCCAGGTTTTACATTTAACATATCTATGGGATTGTGGAAATAATAGCATGCAACATTAGGTCCTGGAACACACAAATGTGGAGAGGAAAATCAAGAACTCCCAGGTGGGCAAGGGGATTATGCCAGGCATATCTTACTGTTGGGGTACCCAAGACATGTAAAAAGAAGCATGTTCCCCCTATACCTAAAGCATCACTTTTACTTGAACTTGGTCTTTCAAGAATACCTTGCTAATTATTTTTTCACATAGGTTAGCAATAAAGACAGCATGTATGTAATGCAATGGTTGTTCTGGTTGTAGCAAGCTGCCCCTCTGAAACCAATAAGGCTGAAACAACTAGTAGGAGGAGGCATACGAGCTGTGATGGGAAGAGTTAGCTGGAAGAACTACATAGTGTTGGATCTGATAATTGGTGGAGGACACTGACATCTGCTGGTTAGGGTAAGAAAATAATGGTTAAGGCTCCAAACACCACCAAGACATCGAGTTATACTCTATATGTGTGCTGACTTAGTGCTTGTTTCCCAGGTCTTTGGCTTAAGTGTATAGGAAGCTTTTAGTACCTTGTCTTCCAAGTCATACATTAGTACAATAACATATTCATACAATAGAGAAACTGAGAACGGTATATGGGAGCCACCATTGCTAATTTATTTTTTAAGGCGAGGCTTCAGGATGTTCGTTCTGATCCTCCTATCACTATTAGTGAGGCACTAACTTGGAACATACACTGAGTGGCCAGATTATTATGACCACCCCATCAGTACTTCGTTGGGCCACGAGATGACTCCACGAGATGACTTCGTTGGGCCGCTTCGTAACTCCACGAGATGTTGAAAGGTGATGCGAGGAATCTGACACTGCACTGTTGCCCTTCTGTTGTTTGTACCAGTCTTGCCACTCTCCGTTCTGCCCTAACATTGACTAGTCGCTGACGGCCACAATTCGCACGTTCACACCCAGATTTTCGGCTGACAGTCCAGTCTTTAAACACTTTAACAATGAGCCCCTCTTGAACATTTAACGAATTCTGCTGTTTTGCTGATACTCGCTCCATGGCTGAGAGCGCCAACAATCATCCCACGTTCAAAGGCTGTTAAATCGCGTTGTTTACCCATATGTTCAGAAAACAATCACTTCTACTGTCGGGGTAAACAACCTTCTTCCCTATTTATAATGGTCTGGCCATCTAGCAACTTCAGCGCAAAATTATAGCCAATTATAGCTAATTTGCCTACAAACGTCAGGTGGTCATAATAATCTGGCCACTCAGTGTATATGCCACCTATGAACGTTGTTCCCCCATCATATTTACGTGTTCAGGTCTAGGTAGTGAAGTCAAAATAAAGTGGGACGTGACCCACCAATTTAACTGTCTCCTAAACCAATTATTTTTAAGGAATGCAAACTATCAAGGTTGCCAGTCTGCTTATTACAACTCTCAATCCTAATACGGTAGCTGGTGGCATAGCTGTGCGGCACCATGACAACTGCAATCCAAATAAAGGCCAAGATGTCAACTTCCTGGGCTGTAAAGGATAGGAGGGTGTAGTTCCGTGAAGGTTACGGATCTTACACCTTTAAAACTAAAACCCTGACATCACAGCTTGTGTATTTCTATCCTCACAAGTTAAATTTGGGAACTGCAGATTTCAGCCTAAAGGTGACATAAAACAACCTCATTAAGATCTGAGATACGCTTGTATCCTGCCGAGTAAGTCCTAGCATGTAAGAAACATGCTAAAATAAAATGACAACATAACAGTAGATCAGAAGTCATTGTATATCCCAAAGTAAAAGGACATATGTCAGGGACATGTGCAGAGGGTGCAGATAACACCCCTTGGTGAGTTGTGGCTTTGCCCAGGCCCATTTATGACATTTAAAGTGGAACAATGCAGAAGAGAGAAGCATCAAACAAAACTGCATGTAAAAATCAGATAAATGGTTTCTGTAGTTGACCAAACTAAAGCTAAGTTATTCCTTAGCAATGAATAGTTGTCCTTTGTGACTGTTGTCTTCTTAAAACTACACTGGCCCGAAAAGTCACACACCCCAATATTTAGTTGGAGTGCCTTTAGTTTTAATTACAGCATGGAATCGCCGCTTGTTTCGATAAGCTTATGCAATGTCACAACATAAATTTCCGTCCAGAGTTGCATTCATTTTTCACCAAGATCTTGTAGTGATGATGGCAGAGTCAGACCACTGCGTGTAGTCTTCTCCAGCAAAGATTCTCAATGGGGTTAAGATCTGGACTCTGGTGGGCAATCTATGTGCGAAAATTATGTCTCATGCTCCCTGTACCACTCTTTCACAATCTGAGCCCGGTGAATCCTGGCATTGTCATCTTGGAATATGCCCAATGTGCCATCAGGGAAGAAAAATCCATTGATGGAAAAACCAGAAAGCAATTTCAGTACAAGAGAGGAGTCTGTACAACTGTGCAAGAATACAGGTAACGCTGGAGTTTTGGGTCAGAGACACTAAATATATACACAGCCAATTTAAGTCAGAATACCTTATCTATCAGAACCAGTGCTCAGGGGACCAGCTGATTCAGCAGGAAAATAAAACGTTTAAACATCAAGAAGCAGCATCCATTGTAAGTGATTTAATAAGCATTTGAAACAGCTTAAAAACCTTTTGACTTTAATGTCACTTTAAGAAAAGTGTGTGGCTGCCATGTGATTCCATCTACACACGTGAGACACTTCCTGAAAAGGAAATAAGCAGAGTGAAACACATTGGTGTTGGGGTGAAAAAAGCCCCTGTAAAGAATTTTAATGAGAATCTTTATACATGTTTATATATATATTTATTTTTCTGATGACAGATTGTGTTGGGGGGATCGTGCAGGGTGGGGGAGCTATTGGGGTTGGTCCTTGCCCCAAAAGTAGGAACACTATATTTTACACAGGAGTGGCCTGAGTTGGGAACTCGCAGCAATAAGGCACTAATGTGCCCCGGAGCTGACTCATTATTTACTGCACATGACAGGCAAGTCAACTCCTCAGGACCCTTTTATGTGGCAGTGACAGGGTGACATATTGTCACACAAAGGCAGTGCTAGGAGTGAGAGTCCCACAAACAAAGCAAGTACATTCTACAGGGTCAAAACCTCAGGAGTGCCTTGTTGCTGCAATTTCCGGGTGGACAGAAGCAAACTTTAGTGTTTGTTCTGAGTCTGTAAACCTCAGCACAAGCTCCATCAGAGCAGGTAACAAGTGTTAATAAAAATACATGAATAGTGATGAAAAAAATATTTACACAATGGAGGGAGCACATTCCTTAGTACACCGAGTAGATCCGAATTCCACAGCAAAGAACCATACTGAAGATCATCTCAATGATCTAAAAAGAATGGAAATAAAATGATTTCATGAGAGGCAAACAAATAGGCAATACAATCTTCAGCATATATAAACAATTGATATATATCATGTATTAGAGAAGACACAGCGAGGGACACTTGCAGGTGGAAGGTTCTCTTTTTAAAGTTTACCTGTGTTTTATTCATTTTGGGCAAAGTAACAGATTCACTTAACCCCCCCACCCCAGCTGCTTACACTTAGCTGCTGCTCCTTTTACCAACTGATTGATTGCCCGTTACACTGGCTGCCTGCCAAAGTCAAATACAATAAAGGCAGGCTGGTCAGAACCAACACAGACCTTCCCACCTACCCCCACCATGTGACAGTAGTCTGGCCTGGTAAACTGCTGGTCAGAAACCCAGAACTCCATTGTGGGAGACAGTTACATGCTACACCGATGAGTGACAATATGCATCAATAAAACAGACGTTTCTTTGGACACTTTACTACGACGTGCAGGTGACATTATAGTCAGGTTCTGCTGTTAAGGTGACCATACACCTGCCGATTATCGTACGATAATCGGCAGGTGTATGGAAGGCGTGCGACCGCTTCTACTGTACGGTCGCACGTCTTTTGTCTTCCGAGCACGCTGGAAAACCCGACCGAAAATTGTACGATTTTCGGCGGGTTAGTGGCGTGCTCGGAAGACAAATGCCGAGCGGGCAAGCGAGAGTTTTATGTCACTTTAAGCTTTAGTTCATGTCAGGTGAAGACAATAACACAGCCTAATAAAATGTCAGACCATTGAAAGCTCTGAATATGTTTACATTCAACAACCATGGGCTTCTCTAAAGCCCCTGGATTACGGTGTCGAAATAAAGATAGTTTTCTTTGACAAAGCATAGCAGGCTGTAAGAAGATATCCAACAGCTTACTATCTAAAATATTTCAGGAACTACAAAATGTTTGCCAAGGTGGAAACAAAACCTAACACTAGAATAGAAGGAATGTTAGCTGGCTGTAAGAAACATGTGGGGGAAATATTAAAAAAATGCGGGCAGAAGAAAACGTAACCCTTGCAGTGGGGCTATCGCTGCACTGCAAGGGTAAAATGCTTGTTTTCTAGGGTGTAAGATAAAAAGATATACTCACCTGAACCTCAGTCCTGCCTGGCTGCTAGACCAGTCTGCAGAGTCCGGTCTGGGAGCCAGCCAGAACGAGGTTTAGGTGAGTCGTTATTCACACGAGAAACGGCTACGTGCGCGGCTGTATCGGGCAGATCCCGAGAAGGACTGGCTCTGTGTGTGATTAGTACGCAGCCCCCGTCCTTCTCTATGGGACTACTTGGCCGTACACTGCCCTACGTCCACCCGCCCTGCGCGTCCGTGTGGGTGCGGGTGTCTGTACTCGTACGCCGACAGGATGGATCCTGTCTGCGTCCGAGCCGGGACACCCCGCACCCACACGGACGCGCAGGGCGGGTGGACGTAGGGCAGTGTACGGCCAAGTAGTCCCATAGAGAAGGACGGGGGCTGCGTACTAATCACACGCAGCACCTGTCCTTCCCGGGAGCTAACCGATACAGCCATGCACGCAGCACGGAGCTGTACGTACCGGCCGTTTCTCGCGTGAATGAGGCCTAATAGACAAGGTGCCAAAACTTTTACACAGATTACATTTTGCGTTTTATATTTTGAAGCCTGTTAAATTCAGAAAATTATCAATAACTTTGTGCAAACATGAGCAGTGGTGTGATATTTTTAACCTTGTACTCGACAGAGGTTTGGTTATGTCATCACCATAAAACGGTTAACTTCCCCATCCCCAAAAGTATTGAGATTTTCACACCCTGGCAGCGGGGGTGTGGTGATAAAGAGAAGTAGAGGCGTTGCTGATGACAAGTTTGCTTTAACGTGTATTTCCACAAAAATCAAATCAAATTGTTATCACAATTTGGCTGCAAAAGTGGATTGGGGGTAACAACAAGGCGGTCTTTGTCTCAAGGTAATCATTGCTATATATCCTATTTTGGGTTCTCCTTTACATTATAGTAGGGAACACACTATACACAAGTGCCTTGATGCAATGTGTGGCTTTCCCATATAATTGCAGTGAATACTAATTGAGACATTCGTTTTTATTGAAATATTAAAACAAGTTTAATTAGATTTCTCTGAACGCTGAGAAGATTCTAATTTAGAGAAGAAAGTTGTTGATCTTACCATGATGACAGCCACCACCGCAGCTGCAATACCGACCAAGTGCAGCTTAGACTGAAACAGTTCATCGATTCTATCATGACAATTCTAAAACACAAGAAGGAAATAGAAAAGGGAAAAATGTAAAGCACTTTATTCCACACCAAGCCACTAAAAGACAGATCAGCAAACCAATCCCCCAAGGAAGTGTTTGCTCTGATAAAAAACAGTATATTTTATGAATTGGCAACAATGGATAAACGTTTTGGCCTTTTTACCCTAGAGGTGCTGAGCGCCTTTGAAGCAAAAGGTGGCCTGTTTATATGTTGTCTGTGGTACGAGGGGCTGTTTTCGGTGTCCAAGGGTGACTTTGGTGTTGCCGTCTCTACTTATACAACCTGAAGGTTGTGGAAACAATCTAAAACAAGGACTCTGGCCTAAAGGACATCTGTCGTAAGAGAAATACAGGAAAAGTAAGATGCTCCTACTGTAATCTCCTGAAAATGCTAGTTGCCTGGTTGTCATATTGATGCTTTATTTTCTCTGACTTAATTTGCTGTGTCCTTATTCTGCACCTAATCAGTCAAGCAAAACAAATGGCAAACGCACTCATCAACTTATAACCAGCTGTTGTATTGTTTAAAGCCCTTCAATGTGTACCTTGCTGTAAAGCTGGTTACAAGTTGATGACTGCGTTTGCCATTTGTTTTGCTTGACTGATTTGGTGCAGTGATACACTGGCGTTGTGATGTGCGGGATCCCTTGTGTGTCCCTGTGCCTTTAAGGAGGTTCGGCTGCCTCCTGGTGAACCTGCACCCAATTTTATCTTTTGCTACATGTGCTCCAAGATGGAGACTCTCATAGGTTAGAGTTAGGACTGCACCACACAGAGGAGCCTTGACGAGGCAGTGCGGCTTTCACATATTCTGCAGAAGACGTGTATCTAAAACCTCTGTTTTTAACCTTAGCGGTTAGACAGGTTTTTTTTTGCATGCTGGCTGGTGAGTGTGCTGGGAAACCTTTTGCTGTTGCCTTACTCTGCACCTTTACCTCAGAAGTACTAAAGTCAGACAGAGCCAGTTTACCAGCAATTTAGGGTTCCTTTGGCACCCGACCTGTCTCTCTCTGCTTTGTAAAGCAACCAGCATTTTAGGTTACACAGTTAATAATGGTGGCCTCCATATTTATCTCACGACAGGTGTACTGTAAAGGTGTTGGCGCTACGAGGACAACATATGGCACAGGTGTTTTATTCCCATGTTTAATGACATCTCTGCAAATGCTCAGACAAATCACCTTTAATAAAGGCATTTACCAAAGAGTGAGTGAGCAACTTATAAATAAACAGGCTTGTGTACATACTACTGCAGAGTTGTAGACCATAGAAAACAATATGATTCAGAATGTCATTTATTAGAGTAGGACAGAAAAAAGGTAAACATCGTAATGATTACTATGTGCAGTGCTCTGCTTTGGTCAGTTTTATTTATGTATGAAAATATGGCCATTAGTACTGGCAGAAGCTGGCAGCGAGAACCTGTGTAAAAGTGCTTTGTATGCATGCAACATTTCTGCAGCGTTTACATGCATACAACACAAAGGTGCCCTATTGATAGGATGCTAGGCAGCTCGAGCCACCTGCATTCTAGCAACACAGGACGCTAGGCGACAAGGAGCCACCTGCACCCTAGTACCACAGGATGCTAGGCAACAAGGAGCCACCTGCACCCTAGCAACACAGAACTATTTTTTTCTAATTATTTGTTAATTTCTTTATTTTTTTGATCTTACTATCTTTTACTTTTTATCATTTTAATTATTAGTTTTTTTACTTTTTTTCATAAATGTTTATTTATTTTATAATTTTTTATCAATTTGTATTTAATTTTTTTCACTTAACTTTATTGCTATCACACAGGAGCTAGCTAACAAGGAGCTACTTTATTGCTATCACACAGGAGCTAGCTAACAAGCCCCTGTGTGATAGCATTTGGAGGTGACAGGTTCTCTTTATTGAACCTGTCACCTCCAATACAGGAGTTCTAGCACAGAACTGTGCTAGAACTCCTGTGACAGCTGAGAGGAAGGGCTGCGAGTGCAGCTCTCCTCTCACTGTATACTCGACTCGGCGTGCAAGGTAGCCGGCGGCGGCGAGAACATACCTGCCGCTCCTCTGCTCAGGGAGGCGGCTCTGATCACACCTGTGGTGTGTCACACCTGTCAGCGCTCCCT